GCGGCACCAACAGATGCTCATTGCAGTGAAGAACCAGGCAGCACAGGTTAGGGGAAATGGGGGCGCAGAATCTGAAATGGGTTGAATAACGGAGTCACTATTCGTGGTAGAGAGAATGATTCACAGCGTACCTAGTCTGTCATTAACATAAGACAAGTTGCATGCCTTGCAGTGTTTATATGTAGTTGACTGGTTTGATGCATAGTGTAAAACAGTGGTTCACCCGTTAACATCCAAGGGTACGTGAATACATGGATAAAATCTAGTATCTACCAGCTGTGTTTATAGCTGCGGTTCTGCAGGCCTATTTGAATTTTTTGACTGTCCTACTTCCTAGTCACGCTGGAAGTTGGTCCAAATCTTCGAGTGAATGTATTGTATCCGATTCAAGATAAAACCGCACACAACCACCATCACTCAGCACGAAACTGAGTGGCCTACAATAACGCTGTGGACTTCAGTGAACCACGTGACTGAAACGACACACGTTACTAACGGTCTTGCTGAGGAGCTCGGTGAGGTCTCAGCTCAAAACGATTCATAGTAAGATGAGTTCCTGAAAAACCATGGTGATCAGCAGTAGTTGTACTTGGTAGCAGAAAATTAGGAAGATTGTATAACCGCTGTCGAAAATTACGGATGCTATATATTTTTGCTCAAATACTGTCGGTTTTGTAGATCTCAAGGTCGGCCTTCGTTCTCAGCGTTCGAATCAAGTTCGCGACGCGAATTTTACCGGCACCCAGTCTATCCTTCAGAAGATCGGTAACCTCCTTCAGAATAATGTCACTCCAACATCCGGAAATTCAGGTGTCTTCAGAAATCAAGCTTTGTTCTCACTGCGACGAGAATGAATTCACCCACAAAGTTATCATCCTTGACAGCACACGTGTACAAATGTGAGCTCCAAAAGAAGCTAATCCGCATTCAATAGGCACCTGTAAAAGAACGTTGAAGTTTTTGCCACGTTGCATAGCCAATTTGATCAACTTGGTAATCAGACATGTGTTCGTCGTCCGTATCTAATTATAATAACTTCAATAAGACTGGAAATAATATTCATGCTTGGTGCAGCCCAAAGACAGATTATCCACTTTACCGCGGAACTTCAAACATGCAGAGTGTGCTTGCTCGTTCACTGAAGAGTTCATTGCAGAGTGCGGAACTGTTTCTTAAAAAGCAGCTTCATGGATAATAAGAGCTCGAGCACTTAATCTATCCACAAGAGTAAAAGTTAAGGTTTATTGAAAGAACGCATCAAATTAGGGCAGAATAAGCATTTGGTGCCCATTAAAATCCCACTGGAATAATCACATTGTGCTAGTGATTCTTCCCAGAACTCTTCACGACTGGCCGAAACCTGTGGCGAAACGCCGCGCTCGATTTTCGCACTGTAATAGTTATAAAACTCTGACTCAGTTTCCGGTAGACCATCGGTTGCCTTTATTCCGGAGAGAGCATGGAACAACTTCGTGAATCTTTGAACAGACCAGATTCGCCTGGTACCAACCTGGTGCACAACTTCGAATCCCCAGTCTTTTCAACGTTCTTTGGCATCAATCAGTTAGACAAAAATCTGAAATGCACTCAAATGCTTCTTCATCTTGGAACGATTAAAATGAAGGACATGAAGAAACGAATAAGTACATGAAGAAACGCAACCATGTTATGACGAATGAGTGCATGCTGAGGTGTAATCCCCGGAAGGATAGAACATCTATCGTTACGATGGTGTGCTAAAAGACACCGACCCAATCGGCACCAGGCAGCTAGGGCGTCAGTGATTCATGTGCAGAAAAGGAAGCTGTACTAATAATGTGATTTTCAAGGGTTTATTAAAGTCAAAATACTGTTCCGACAGAGCAGATGAGTAATCAAAGCAACACTTCATCGTGCTACTGAGTAGCTTGCAAGGTAACAGACTGGTCAGCAGTAACGCCTGAAGTCGCGTCTACAAAGGTGCGTTTGTGATACTCTCATGTTTCAAGCCACCATTCTCTGTTGTAGTTTTGGGTAATTTCCAAACTGTCACTACGCTCAAAGTGACTTGGAACGGTGACCCCTCCGTTCAATTAATCCTCTAATCAGTGTCATACCTGCATCTACTGACTCCATCCTGTTTTGTTGGAGTCTTGTTGGAGTTTTGTTGTTGTTTTGTTGTTTTTGTCTCCTAAACACGAGTCAACATCGTGACATGAATGCGAGGTTGATGAATAATATGTCAATAACATGTGAACTCCGTTTCGTAGCCTTATAAAGGATGCCATGTGATCCCCCATGGTTATTTTCACCTTCCAATTTCATGGCAAAGGAATATACAATGACGCAACACGTTTAACGACGCACACGCATCACGGAGAAGCGCGCACGTCAGAACGTAGTTTCGGCTCAGTTCAACAGCACAGCGCGTCTCAACTGCACGCCGTATCGGCTCTTGGATCTGGCGTCTGAAGACTCGGGCCCCAGACAAGAAAGAACGAGTGTGTCGATAGTATTGCTAAGAGAACACTCCCTAAGTCCAACCTTTTATCGGTCAACCTAACCAAGTCCCTAATAAGCTGATAAGTCTTCCCACTTTTGTATGCTTCATACTTTACATTGTATTTATATTCATAAGGTGAACCTAACTTTGTAATCTGTTTAACCGTAATACTCAAACCTCATTAGTGTATTTCCCTTCTTAAGTCTTCCACTTTTGTATGCTTCATACTTTACATTGTATTTATATTCATAAGGTGAACCTAACTTTGTAATCTGTTTAACCGTAATACTCAAACCTCATTAGTGTATTTCCCTTCTGAGCTCGAAAGCTCAACGTCTATTTATTACAGTACTAATAGATTCACTTGTTGATCTTAGTGGTAGATTAGAATAGGTGAGCTAAAAATCTATCAAAACAATACTGTTCCGCAAGCTCCATGCAGGATTCAGATCAACTGAATACACTGATTTGTGTTTTGAGGAAACACCATTCGACAGAAATTATCTAATGCGGGGGCATAAGCTCTCATGTTGCCGAATTTAAGGATATACGTAGTTTATAGGGTAGAGTCCACATTTTTCTTGATTCTTCCTCAGGATCCAATGTTTTGATCTTTCGAAGTCCTCTGCAATCGAAGACAATTTCGCGCAACTTTAAACCTCAAGCCTACGGGTATGTGACAGTGGAAGATATGTCTATAGCGATTCTCAAAAAACAATTTGCATAACACTCCTACTTTTGACGTTTCTTCCAGATTATATTAAACGCCTCACGGGCGGACAACATATGACATGGATTGTAGGTCTATTACGAGATGCGACTTTTTACACATATGTACACATAAGTGACTGAAACCAGTCGTTCAGATGGAAGTGGGATAGCGTGCTGTACATAGTCCCAGTACTTTGACAGTACACTATTCACATCCATAATGATTCAGAGGCATCTGGCTGTCCTGGCGAAATGAGTCCGAAGAAATTGTCACTTCCGCACGGATACTAGGATTGCAGCACATCAGGCTTTTGTACTGTCCAGTGAAACCGGAAAACCAAACAGACATTTGTGAGTACTTGGTCAACCATATTCGCACTGTCTTTGCGATATTATTGCGACTAAACTGATATGCGATAATCCTAACATAGCTTCTTCTAGGGGCGAACGCCATTGGAACCGATCATTATCCAGTGTGGATCCAGCTCATTTGATTGGGTAACTAGGGACGAATGACAAGCTAACACTTCAAAACTGATTGTCCATGACCGACTGAACACTGAAGTTCCAAATCGATGATACTGGAATTTCTATTCAAACAGCCTTGCGCTCAGGTGGGAAACTTTTTCTTCCATTTTAAGACGTGAACGTTTCTAGCACTCGATGTAGAAGCCAGCGGAATGGCTATTTTAGCAGCTTGGTAATTGATCAGGTGGCTGTTGATCTGGCAGTTGACTTGTAAACGTTTCGAGGAGCAACTCAACAAAGCACCGATATGTCTTCTTGAATGATGAAGAAACTTCTGCGGGTCGACTATCAAGCTCGGCGAACATCTTAACAACCATCTGATCAGTTACCAATGAATACATCAGAGATGACAACATTACAATTCATTTATGCCGCTGCTAAGCCCTTTATGGTACTACGCCCTTTATGGTACTACGCCTTTATGGTACTACGTCCGAAGAAAGGTGAATGTAACAAATGAGTTCGTTTCGTTTCTGTACTCAGCATCTGTCCGATATCTGTTTTCTTGAGGACAACGGTGTCACTAGACATTTGTAGGAGGGGAAAGGATATCATCAAGTGGTTTATTACCACTGCGAACATGTAGTAATATACTCCCCTTGGGAACATCTGTCTCACTACAGAAGGCATTGTATTACGCCGAATTTTGGAGGAATAGATGACATAGCATCACTAATAAACAAGTGACTTGTGTAGGTACTCCTCATCATGTCTTCATATTTAGACAGGCCGACGGCCCGCTACAGTCCTCCGCATGTTAAGCCACCAGTCTTACGCTCACAGGTCTGCACTGACGCCCAGCACCTTCTTGCACCATATTTGGCTTCAAGTAAGACATCTGTGGGAGTGGACGCTGAAGGTTGACCAACTGTTACATGGCCATATTTGCTTTTAGACCAGAAGAAGAATTTCCTTGAGTCGGGCACGCAAGTGTTTTAGAAGAAAATTCGGCATCGAGTTTCATAATCTTTACCACCTTCTTCCTTCGATAAACCCTAATACGCCAAATCGATGAACTTTCTGATACATCGCACCGAAACCATGGAATGTATAAGCACATACTTCGAATGAATCCACAACAAGCAACTAACCGACTCCTCTGTATCTGGACTACGGCCTTTGGTAAAAAAGCAGCTATACGCAAGAGGAAACCATTAGTCTACAGTAAGAGTCGGCTTGACTGCTCTACACCTCTAAGGCAGATCTGGTTACGCCAAAAAATTAAAAAGAACCCAAGAATGCTCTCTTGAGCGGTTTTACTTAATGAAAAAATCCTCACTTAGATGCGTGAATACGACATACCGTTTTCATTCGATCCTGGCAGATGGAATTTTCCGCTTCTTGGGTGGGGTACAAAACCACCGTTTTGAGTAATGTCATTGTTCGCCCGGGATGACATTGGGAAAGCAGATGCAGCATCACTATCGTCAGCTGAACCAGATCTTGTCAAATGTTGCGACTGGGTGGGCTGCAGTAAGTTGAGGGAGTTATTGTCTGACCATGAGCCGCCCGAAGAAATATCGTCCAGGGCAGGTGGGGGGAACGTCAACTGAATGGGCAATGTCATGTTGGCCTCTATATTAATAAAGGAAGTAAATTCTTTAGAGGAACTTCGATTGAAGGTGTTTGGATTCTTTGGTGATACAGATTCCATCACATCAAGACCACCGATTTCACTGGTTTCTCCAGTTGATGCGGTTTCCGACGTTGGATCAGCTGAATCAGTAGTCGTGGCATTTAGCACCTCGGAGACAGTCTGGTTTTGCTGCGCATGATGAACAAGTTCACTTTTTCTATCGGAGGTTGGCAACATACCATCCGAGATACTCACTAGACCGGTCGTATCAACGTAATGAGGTGAACTGCTCTCAACATTTTGCAAATCAAACACAGCCTTCCCTGGCTCACTAGAAACAGCAGGTGGGTGATCCGTAGCAACAGTTGTGCTGTGATCTGATCCAAACTGTTCAGGACTGTCCAGACTAGTAGATGTCACCGGTTGATTAACATGCTCTCCTAAAGACGAGATGCTGCCTGCGTTTTGAGGGCCAGATAGTTTGGATCGGATAATTGGATCTGTATTATGTAGAGTAGTAAGAATCATTGATGGATCATCTGTCGGAAGAATGTTTGGATGTGCGAGTGGTTGAACTGAGTCCGAGACTAGACCAACAGAAACTGTTTGCATCCCGCTTTCCCCTTGTTTTTCTGGGTGCGTGTGAGAAATAACCTTATGGGATTTAATCTCATACAAATCTTCCCTTTGGTCACTCGCATGAGGCGTTTCGGTTAAATATTCTAAGGACGCAGTACCCATACTTAAATCCGATAAGTGGCGACCCTCAACACCATGGTGTGGGGGCAAATCTGGGTCCAACTCTAAATAACTTTCCGAGGTTGGTTCACTGTAGATGGTGACACTTTCCAAATTCGGACGAAGACGTGTTACTGATGTGACTTTTTCATTGTTGCCAGGTGATATCATTGACCCTTCTGCTTTGTTGGACTTACCAGTTTCCAGAGCTTCTACTTGACCACTAGTTTGACAGTCCTCATTAGAATAAACTATAGTATTTTCGGCTATTTTTCCGAGATCATCGACAGAAGTAAGCTTTAATTTTAAATCACATAAAGGCAAAGGCGCCTCATTGTTTCCGATTCCGTCCACTGCCTCCTGACTTTCAGAAGCATTCGACTTATTTGCAGTTGCTTTTTCACTAACAGCGGTTCTCTCGCTGTCAGTTTGATCAGACAGATGTCCCATCTGATTTGCTGTACCCGTCTTTGGTTCGGGCAGCTGAACTGTAACTTCTGGTTCAGATTCGTTCATACTGCCCAATGTGCTTCCAGTTGTAGAGTTTGGCTCCAAAACTTCCACGTTTTCTGCAGACACTATTTGGCTCTCGGTTGATGTGGCCAAATCCAATGAATTATCTGTGCTCTGTGACAGCGAATCAATAATCGGGCGTGGAACGCTGTAAATATCCGCAACAACCAACACTTCCGTAGATGCATACTGGAATGAAGAGAATTTGCGCTCGCCTAATTTATTCGGATTCACTGGTATGTATGTCGTCACCTTGTCAATGAATTCCGTTCGTGCACCTTCTGTTTGTTTCGGCATTTCGTTAGCCGCAGTAGATAGCTCGCCGCTTCCGATTAAAATCTCAGACTCATTTTCAGGCACTCCAGTAGTACTTTTTTGAAGTTTTCCTGTTAAAACCCTTGGTGTTTGATTAACAGCTGAAGCGGCATCCTCATCGTCTACCCGTTGGGTCTGCGAATCCTGTATTGGGATGGCTTTGGCTTTCGTGCCGTTAGCTTCATCAAGTGGATGATCCGGCTTCAGTGGTTGTTTGTTTGAACTGGTTGGTGAGATCCATTCTAATGGCATTTCGGTTGCTGGTTCCTTACCTGTGAATCCTACGTTAGAGAAGTCCAGAATTACTTCGGTACTTGAAATGGAAACCTGATTAGCTGTTCCCGTCAAGTTTCCCCCAACTAAAGAAATTGGATTACTATCCTGCACATGGTGTTCTTTTATTCTTGAGCTAATTTTCTTTGGCGTTTGACTGAGGTTCTCGTTCAATTTTTCCACAGTTCGCAACAATTTTTCATTCCTGACGTCTGTCTTAAGTATACTGATAGACGTATCGGGTTTAGAATCGGTCTTCTTCTTAGTGAGCTGCAAGGATTTATCGGCATTTGAAGATTTAGGGTCTTTGTGTGTCATTTCTTCTTGTTTATCAAGACCAACATGTGATTCTGAAAGCAGCTGATTCTTGTATGTTGAGTTGGTCGCTTCCGAGTCGCTGTGTTTCACAGGTTGCTTTTCAGTTTGCTGATGGTGTAGATGCTCAGCAGTCAGCTCACTGGTGGTTCGCGGGTTGTGGAAAAAAGTTAAGCTCAGGTCGTGTGCCTGGCCTAAATTTTCATCTTTTGGTTCCACAGAACGTTTTATTCGTTTTGTCCTGATCAAGGAGTCATTCGTGATAAGTTTTCGCATTGACTGCCAATTTTCGAGCGAAATTTCCCCCACCAGTTGTACGCTGTCAGCATTTTTCGCTGTTCTAGTTTTCCTCGCTTTGAATGACGTCCTCCTTCCTTTTTGTGTTGTGATTCCAGCTGCAGATTTTTCACTACTTTTAGTGTTGAGGCCTTGTTTGTTCGTCTTCTTTTGCGCTTCTGTGCAACCCACAGTCCCACGCGCAAAATGATTGAAATCCTTGGCTTTGCCTGCGGAAAATGCGGACAAAATACGTCTTTTTCGTTTACCATAATACTATACTAATTGGGGAAAAATCTATCGAGTTTTAATCATAAAAGGGATGCTCGTACATGCCTTGAGCAATTAAACGATACCGTAGCTCCTCTGAAATGGAGAATGGTTTTTGTTACCCAATTACCTGTGGTTGTGTTGTAGGACCCGCGTAAATTCCCCCTATTCTCCCCATTCTTGTTCAAATATGTCACCGATTCCACGTTGATTATACTCTCTCTGGATATGGAAAATAGATTTGCAGGATGATTGGTGGACGTAGATTACACAGTGAATTTTCTCTAATGCATCTGGTCATACGTCTGCACAAACTACCCTAGATAAATTGATACAGGTGGTCATCTGCATTCTCACAGTGCTAGATCTCACTTCACGACTTGCACGCCAGCGTGTCCCTGTCAAGCTTCATAATGGAAAGCCTGATTCTTTTGGGAGATTCACGTGTCCTGATGCATGCATAAGCCTTGAGTGTGTCGTGGCAGATAAAGTTAATGCGCGCATCACTAAAATGCGAGAAATATTTACGAACTTGTGTCACTTATGTTGAAGAGTCATGTCTTTAATACGATTATGAAAGCAGTCGTAACCTATGGCTGTGGAACAGGCCCCTCCCTATCTGAAACCTGAGATATATATATGGATCATTGCGCTTTTCACGGAACAGGTGGTGATAGTTGCGTGCAGCTTGCTCGCAATTTCTATAGCGAAATCTTTCATAAAAGAGTGCTCTGCCTAGCTGGCCAGCAGAGCATGCACTAGTAATACCTGACCCCAACTTTTTCCGCAACAGACTCTTGTTGGCAGAAAGTTTACGGAGGACAAGCCACGACTTGACAACGGGAAATGAAAGTGACTAGTGTCAAGTGGGGTTCCTGTGATTCCCTTCGCGCTCGGCTGGAACACATACAGGACGGGACATTCAGCCGATCCCAACGATGAGCTTGCTGTCATTTTCCGATTGAATTGCCCAGCTGACGCACACTAGGATTCTGTTGAATGAAGTTTGCAAAGGGCGTCATACTGATTCATCTTCTGGCGTCCTGCTCCAGTATGATACCAAGAAGTTCTCAGTTCAACGGTTTTGTAAGATGTAGACACCTGGTTGTTGCACGTTTTCCCAAGAAACACAAGGCTGTTTAAAATATGCCGCACCCTCTGCTTGCTTTTCACCTTTTGCTGGAGCCTTCTTTCTCCATCATGCTATGGGAGCCAAACATCAGTTTGCCCCAATGATACATAGCTGATGATGGTGCTGGTGAAGATGATAGACCTCGCAGAGTACAGTCAGACATCATTCAACTCCATTTCTTGTGTAATTAATTCATTAGCTAATCGTTGACAAATGTTGCACAATTTTTTGTATCGTGAGCGAATAATATACATAGACATATGCAAAACTTTCTACCGAATGTTTTGCACGAACCGATTGCTGTTCTGTTGGTTCCATTTTCTTCAAATGTCTCTGTATTGCCATGTTTCGCTTGCGGAAAGCAATTGAAATTTCATTACTACTGAACGGTGTTGGACACAGCGGATGGGCTAAGGAACATTTGCTACAGCCTCTAAGACAAGCTTTTTCTCTTGTTGGGACTCTTTAAGTAGGCATCTTGTCTGGATTCTTTTTTCAAAGGCCACGCTCCACTGAATACTGGCCCAAATCTACCTCTAGAAGGCTGTGGATTCAAATGAGGAGAGCAACTCAAGTAGCAGGCGAATACCACCTAGTTATCAGCTGTATGGAAACCGATTTATCACAGCGCACAGTAAGAGTAATTGAAGCAGACCGCTGAATCGGTAAGAGTAGAAGGGCACTCCAGACTCGCCCCTGGTTCACACAGCGGTTCGGCCTGATAACGCTTCCAGAAAAAGGCCTTTATGACACAGGCCAAAAATGAAGATGAAACTCGACATTTTATGGATTGTTTTAAAAGGAACAAATCTTTGTAAGCACTGAGCACTTGAGTCAGCTAGTGAGAATATTTTAAAGCTACAGAGGGATTCCGTACCATTTGTGGAATACACGCAAGCCATCAGGCTTGGAAACACTGTACACCCCCATAAGTTTCTGCTGTACAAGGATTAATAGCTGATCAGTAGTGTGATAAACTTGCTTTGGAGCAGGACCAAAGATTTACTTCAAACACCTGTTTCAATGTCACCATATGTTATTGGTTTGCTTCTCAAGTAACAAATTGGTTGAATTGTTAAGACTAGGGATAAAGTACCCCAGGTTATTTTGTGTAAAACAAAAAAGTACACGATTTATGCACAACATAGGATGGGAAAATTAAATGGGTAATGCAGTTTAAAATAAAAAAGCTTGTTAAACTAAGTGCGATTTCCATCTCACCACTCATTTTCCCATCACACGTGCGTATGTGTGCGCTGCCTGCATTAAGGCCTAATGTAATAAGTACTTTTAATTTTTAGTGAAGAAAGTGTGCATCAAGAAGTAGTAAAATATCAGATAGGTGCCGAACTGTCATGTCACCAGAACGAAGCACGGGGCTGGGACACTACCAGGTTGCCCGAGTCTAGAGAGGGGAAGTCGAGATGCAGAGGTCGGGTTCAAACCACGGACCTTCCGATCAATAAATTCGCCATATTCTAGTAGTAGTATTCTAGTAATGAAAGTCATTGCAGCGTTTACCGGTAAGCCCCAAGAAAGATGCGGGAGTCCTGTGGAATATGTGGAACATGTAGAGCAGAAAGTGTCTTAGATTATTTCTTCCTGTGTAATTTATGTTCACATATGAGAAAAGTGAATTTGAAATGACGTCTACCTTAGAGAATTCATGTTTAAATTCTAGGTCCAGAAATCTGACAATTTCAGAATCAGAAATAAGTAGTCATACTTCAAGTATGAAGATCTCCGAAGCTTTATAGATATGTAACGTAAAACCTGACCAGTTCTATGACAGACATTACCAAATACTGAATCTAAATCGGCATCATTTGCTTACTCCGCCCACGTACGGATCGACTTACACCTGCTTGATCTCCTCTGTAAATTGTACCGTAGACTTTCGAACCCAATTCCTGCTCCCCAAATACGGGACTGTCAAGATTACTCCGTGTCGGAAACTTCTTCGGTACTCAATTTTGTTTGTGAAATCATATAGTGCTTTGCCTTGTTACGATCGACACGTTCCGGCCCTTTCTCTTTCTGACTAGACCGGACAAAACATTTTATCCTAGGCTTCCCTACCACGAGTTTCTAAAGACTCTGGCTGTATTGGCTACCAAGAGGGAGAGACTTATTGAACTAAATGAGGAGACTCGGGAATCACATCGTGAATGTCTGTTGATCAGATGGAGACAAAAGGCTAAACAAAAGTCCCTTATAACTCTCGGGTCTTGAAAGAAAGACGCCAAAGCTGTCCGCATTATCTCAGAACGAGATGATAACCGATAAGACTACTGTTACCCAGAGTGCGCTCCGGTGAGGAAGCCGCCCCACAAGAGGACAACCATCAGTTTGTGGTTCGTTGAGGTGCGCTCAATTAACTGCAGGTGAGCAGGCAGTTTCACCCACCATGGATGAATTGTGCTATGCCAAGTGTGCATACCCCTCGACCGGAGCCATGCACGTTTACATTGCCAACTTCCAACTGATATTTTCAGAGTGCCTGGAAAAGGCACTTTGAAACCTGGTTCGGTGGATTTTCAATCTATGGGTATTTTACAACGTGGGATGGTACGAATGGTCACACTTGTATTACATTATACCACCTCTGGGTTTTGTCCACCAATGCTCACCTAAAAGCCAGTGTTTTCTTATGGTACGTATTCGTCCGTCAGGTGAGCGTTATTCCTTCTAACAAGTACGTTTTAGCCTAATTTAGTTACCCACGGTGTTGTATTCATTTTTTGGAGTGCCTATGATCATCATCACTGTTTGTGCCGATCTTGTTGCAGCGGGGGGAATTGTGTTGGGGAGAATCGAATCTAGCATCCTTGATGCTACCTGAATAGGGAGTCCTGGCAGGCGGGTGAATTGATCTTCACAACCAGAGGAATTACTGAGTCGGAAAAACGAATCACGTTGCTCATGTGTCAACCCGTTTGCCTGCCCAGACGTGATAGTTCAGGTGCGTCCAGTATGCACCTGTGGAGTAGTGGTAACACACCTCGTATGTCAGATGTCTGGGATCCACACCCAGCATGACCGGGGAAACGCATTGATGATGGGCTCTATCTAGAGGGAAAACCGAGTCCGGTGCTTTTCCGTTTAGTGTGGACTCATCAGGATAATTACGCTAGAATATGGCAACATATTTCGAAACTCATCATCAAAGATAGCAACATCAGTGTTGACACTGACGATTCACCGCCGCACTGTTTCCAAACCAGAGGGCTGTGAATGTGAGTACTACAA